CCCCCTCCAGATGCATCTAGAGGAGGGGCAAGGAGGAAGGCTTGCCCCCCAAGCCAAGGGGGGGCGCCCCCTTTAGGGTTTCCCCCAACCCTAGGCGCATGGGCCCTAGAGGGAGTTGGCACCCAGCCCACCTAGGGGCTGGTTCCCCTCCATATTCAGCCCATAGGGCCCTCCGGGGCAGGTGGACCCTCCCGGTGGACCCCCGGAACCCTTTCGGTGTTCCTGGTACAATACCGGTAAACCCCCGAACACTTCCGGCGACCGAATAAGGACTTCCCATATATAAATCTTCATCTCCGGACCATTCCGGAACTCCTCGTGACGTCCGAGATCTCATCCGGGACTCCGAACATTCCGTAACCACATACTAATTCCCATAACAACTCTAGCGTCACCGAACCTTAAGTGTGTAGACGCTACGGGTTCGGGAATCATGCAAACATGACCGAGACATCTCTCTGGCCAATAACCAATAGCGGGATCAGAATACCCATATTGACTCCCACATGTTCCACGATGATCTCATCAGATGAACCACGATGTCGGGGATTCAATCAATCCCGTATACAATTCCCTTTATCCATCGGTATGTTACTTTCCCGAGATTCGATCGTCAGTATCCCAATACCTCGTTCAATCTCGTTATCGGCAAGTATCTTTACTCGTTCTGTAATGCATGATCCCGTTACTAACTCCTTAGTCACATTGAGCTCATTATGATGATGCATTACCGAGTGGGCCCAGAGATACCTCTCCGTCGTACGGAGTGACAAATCCCAGTCTCGATTCGTGCCAACTCAACACACACTTTTGGAGATACATGTAGTGCACCTTTATAGCCACCCAGTTACATTGTGACGTTTGATACACCTAAAGCATTCCTATGGTATCCGGGAGTTGCACAATCTCATGGTCTAAGGAAATCATACTTGACATTAGAAAAGCTCTTAGCAAACGAACTACATGATCTTGTGCTATGCTTAGGATTGGGTCTTGTCCATCACATCATTCTCCTAATGATGTGATCCCGTTATCAACGACATCCAATGTCCATGGTCAGGAAACCATAACCATCTATTATCAACGAGCTAGTCAACTAGAGGCTCACTAGGGACATGTTGTGGTCTATGTATTCACACATGTATTATGGTTTCCGGTTAATACAATTATAGCATGAACAACAGATAATTATCATGAACAAGTAAATATAATAATAATCATTTTATTATTGCCTCTAGGGCATATTTCCAACAGGTGGTGCCTCAAAAGGACACCTTTCGATATTTGGGGTCAATGTTGCAGGAGGATAGGGGTACTGATGAAGATGTGAACCATCGAATCAAAGCCATATGGATAAAGTGCCACCAAGCTTCTGGCATTCTATGTGACAAGAGAGTGCCACAAAAACTAAAAGGCAAGTTCTATAGGACGACAGTTCGACCCGCAATGTTGTATGGCGCCGAGTGTTAGCGGACTAAAAGGCGACATGTTCAACAGTTAGTTGTGGCAAAGATGCGTATGTTGAGATGGATGTGTGGCCACACGAGGGAGGTTCGAGTCTGAAATGATGATATACGAGATAGAGTTGGGGTAGCACCAATTGAAGAGAAGTTTGTCCAACATCGTCTAAGATGGTTTGGGCATATTTAGCGCAGGCCTCCAGAAGCTCTAGTGCATAGTGGATGGCTAAAGCGTGCGGAGAATGTCAAGAGAGGTCGTGGTAGACTGGATTTGATATGGGAGGAGTCTGTTAAGAGAGACCTGAAGGATTGAAGTATCACCAAAGAACTAGCTATGGACAGGGGTGCGTGGAAGCTTGCTATCCATGTGCTAGATCCATGAGTTGGTCACGAGATCTTATGGGTTTCACCTCTAGCCTATCCCAACTTGTTTGGGACTAAAGGCTTTGTTGTTGTTACAAGGTCAAATGACCAAAATAAACTGCAAGGAGTTAAGGTTAAGGGTAATTAACTGAAGACACCTAAGATGATGATGTGTTCCAATGTTCACTTCCTTGGAGGAAATGTAATCACCGTTGAAGGGATGAATGTTATCACAAAGACACACCAACACCATAAAGGTTCACCCTATTCTTCTTGATATATCACCGCAAAGACGATTCCAAACCAATGGTGGCAGACCTCGAGGCGACCTTCAAATCCTCACAAATCTTTTAAGGGATAAATCACTAGTTGCACCAAAGAACTCCTGCCACCTAGGAGTCACCAATCTCCAAGAGTAGCAAGAACAAATGGGAAAAGCTTGAAACTAGCTCAAATCACGAATACATTGGCCAAAAGAGATAGGAGAATTGGTCTATGTTTGGGTTAATCTCTCAAGAAATCTTTGATTTGATATCGGGATATGAAGGGGAGCCTTTCTTAGATCTACTCATGTGTTGGTCAATCTCCCTAGGAGGTGGTGAAGGCGTATATATAGGTCGGAGAGAAACTAGTCATTTTAGTATGGGAATTACACAGTCGCAGTCTAATAACTGAACTTTGTTGAGGACTTGAGGTCAGCAGCCAAACACGGAGAAGAATAGTGGCCCGGACGGTCCGACAACTTTTCGCTGGACAATACGCCACCTAGAGAGGCAATGTGCGGACGTAGCCTGGAACTTTTGGGATTTTCGGCTATGATTTTGAGGTTATGTTACACGGAACCAATTAGCCACACAGTCCGACCATCGCTCGGAAAACCCTGGACAAACTCGCTAGGTTGAAGTACATATGGCTTTGGTATTTTGCAATGGGAGTGTGTTTAGGCTTTTGGGAAAATATGCATGTAGTGATGATTGTGGCCTGAGCTTGTCATTTTCAAACCCCTCTGACCCTCGCTTAGTAGTGTAGGGCCCCTATAATTCAGAAATGAAAAGAGTAAAGCTATGCTTCACTTTGTTATCGCAAGTCTTTGAGATATTAGCAGTTAATTTTTTTTTTTGGGGGGGGGGGGGTCTATGATCCACGACACGATATATCCATGCGACTAACACGTATAAAATTACTTAGCAAACATATTAGTCCTCTATAAGTACATTGTCATCAACATTAAAATATGATTAAGAGCGTGATTGAACTTTCAGGCGTGTGTTAGGAAATGTTTCCCGTGTATTTTGAACATGTTCAATGTGCATTTGACAAAACGTTCAACATGTATTCAAAGAAAAATGTCAATGTCTATTTAGAAAATGTTCAATATATATCTGGAAAATGTTCAACCTATATATATAAATAATATTTCATGTGCATTTGCTGAATATGTGTTCAAATAAAATGATCAATGTGTATTTTAAATAAATCAACGTGTATCTAAAAATTTCAGCATGGATACGAAAAATGTTCAACATGCACTTGTAAATAAAAATAAAAGAAGTAAAAGAAATAATAATCCACAAAGTAACACACAAAAAAAAGGAAAAAGGAAAAATATGCTCGGAGCCTTTCCAAAACTGGATGGAAGGTTTCCGAAATATACTTCCACTTTGGGGCGAGATATTGTTTCATCTCGCAATGGGCGATTTCTAGCATTTACGGTATCACGTCCCAGCCCACACGGGCCGGACCCAGCTCTAGCGCGTGCTTTATAGCAGGAAACAAAACTATTTCTCAAAAAAAAAAAAGCAGAAAAAAAGTTCCCCGCGGACGCGCAACGAGATCTGGGTCCACGCGTCCCGCCCGCTGCTCACCGGAAGCACGGCCGTCAGGTCTACGAAGCAAAGAAACACACAAGGCAACAAGAAAGCGTGGGTCGGCGGAAGGAAAGGGTGAAGAAACCAGAGGAACCCAAGAAAAGGTAGGTGGCCTCCTTCCTAACCAACCCCGGGCGGCGGAAATAAATCGGCAATCCCCTGCGATTTACTGCCGCTTCAAGTTCAACTCCTCAGATTCGCAGCTTCGGGGGAGCGGATTGCTGCGCAAATGGGGTCCGGATCTTTCCTCAAGGTGCTCGTCAGCAACCTGGACGTTCTCGCCGGGTACCGCTTCTCTCCCTGATCTGCTTCCTGTTCCTCTCCTTGGACGGATTAGCTTCGTGTTCTTGGTAGCAATGGCGTGCCGGGCGGCGCTGTTTCGCTCGGGTCGGGGTGGTCGTTTTGTGCGCTGTGTCGTGATGGCTGGCTGAGGGGGAGTGCGCGCGAGCCGTGGCCGTGGTTTCTGGGCCGCGGGCTGTAGTGTCGCTCACAGTCTCGCTCCAAATCTTCAAATGTTCAGTGGTTTGCGGTAGGAAATTCGATTGTTGGTGTAGATGGTGGGGAAATTTTGCATATGTGGCAGGGTTCAGGGTTTTTGGTTCGTCAGACATTACGACGTACTACCAATAGAATTCAGAGGACTAGTTTATCAGGGCTGCCAAGGAAGCTCTGAAAGGACCTACAGAACATTGATGTAATGAAGTAATCTTCTGGCTTAGGACTTCATCATATGTGACCTGTCTTCCGGCCTAAATTATGTAGATTCGTTGCTCAGCTTCTTTGGCAAGACATGCCGTCATGTATGGTTCCACAAAAGGATCAACATACAGGGAAAACCCCACATACAGTTAGTGCTTTCGATAAAAAAATTCCCTAGCATTTTACCAGTAGGGCTTGCTATTTCGAGTTTATGGTTTTACATCTTTTGCATAACTTACCAGTGCCCTCTGATGATGTTCCGTAAGACTGGGATATCCCCACATTATACTACCATAATAATCAAGATAACACATCTTGCTATTTATATGGACATTCGTGACATGGCTATGTCATATATGCCATCTACAGAATATGGCTAGATTATGACTAGCAAATGCAAGAACATTTTAGCTGCAGTTAGCGTTATTTCCATTAGTTAAGTTGCACTTACTAGTTACTTGGGCGCTGTAAATTGGGGAAGCAGCTAATGCAGTCAACTTGTGGATTTTAGAATGGTTCTCATCCTGTATTAGTACTGATGAGGTGCTTTTATTTTTCTTGCAGGCCCATAGTTTCACTCGCTTATCCTCTGTAAGTAAATGTTTTCTCGTCAAGCAGATACAAATTTATCCTTGTCCTTCCATTTTGCCACAATTGTTTTTTCTTTTCTTTTTTATTTAAGACTGTAATTGACACGTTTGCAGGTATGCGTCTGTTCGAGCAATAGAAACAAAATCTCCTATTGATGATCAGCAATGGCTCACTTACTGGGTGCTGTACTCGTTTATCACTCTGTTTGAGCTCACTTTTGCTGCAGTAATTGAATGGTAAAAGGCAGTTCCCTATCTCATTGGACTTTTCTTTTTTGTAAATCCTTCAGTACTTCCTTGTTACTATGATACTGTCTAATATAGTGGGATTAGTAGAGCGTATGTCTTACTGTAATGATCACCTGGGGAACCTTATTTGTGACCTGCGGTTTCTTTAAATAAATTTCTTTCCCCGTACCTTCTCTGCTTTGGTAGTATTATATAATTTGTGATTTGCTGCTATCCTCATTGCTGGGGATAGATTTATGTTAAGTACATCATGAGATGGATGGATATGCTTACTAGTTACTACAGACTAATGTTTGCGCTTTGCAGGCTCCCTTTCTGGTCTTATGGAAAGCTGTTTTTCAATTGCTGGTTGGTCTTGCCCTACTTTAACGGTGCTGCGCATGTTTATGAGCATTTTGTGCGGCCAATGATTGTGAACCAGCAGGTTGTAAACATCTGGTATCTTCCAAAAAAGGAAGGTTCAGACAAACCTGACGATGTAATTTCAGCTGCACAGAAATACATTGAACAAAATGGATCAAAAGCATTTGAGACTCTCGTTAACAAGGTATGGTTTATCTTATGTAAATTTTACAGTATTCGTTTGTGTATATGGCGGCAAGTGGCCAGCAGTTCTTTGTGCAGTAAGAAGCGTCACCATTGATACTTCCTCAGCGATTAAAGTTGACTTTTGTAATGCATGATAATGTGATTACTGATTACAGAATTTTAGCATTAAGTGTCGAGGGTTCTATACTGCTGCATATTAGATGTCACATGGTTATCTGATTCACTAGATGTCATGGTTATCCTATGAACCTTCAGATTTGGATCATAGAATGACTATCAAAATGACTATGTCACATCTAAACAATAGATTGTTTTTGTCAATACCGTAAGCTACTCTTTACAGAAAAGTGACCATTGGTAGGTTTAATGTTTTATAGGCTTGTCATGGGTTTAGAATGTAGGTCCACTCGCCCTAGTAAGTTGGCTTGTTAAGTTCAACAGTTAACACTAAACTTGCGGCAAGTGTTTTTATCCCTTTGCTTAGAAGATGTAGTCCGTCCATCATGAGTATAGTGAACAACTGAACATTCAAAATTTGTTCATAAAATACATATTCCATTGTGACATAACTTCTACACTAAGTTTTCCCTTGCATACCCGTCCCTTTGCCTATTTCCAGTAACCATTTATTTGTATGGTCTAGAGAATACAACTTCCGAAGGTAGCAAGTGACCTGATTAAGGGAGGTAACGCAGTTTCTACATGTGTTTTTGTTGGAGTATCATGTCTTCAAGAACGGATGCAGTATTTTATAGAATACAAAAAAAGTGGAAATAAGTGCCCCAACTTAGTCTCCTTTTCTTTGACAATTAACATCCTTGTTCACACCAGAGATGTTTTCAGTTTCGCGTTTAGCATCTTTTTTGTTGTTCAATGCAACAGTGCAATATGTTCATGTGGATTAATCTTTGGCACTACCTAATTTTCACTCACAGTTTAAGACTACAAACGCGAGGCGCTCAATTTTGGAGGAGGTAGAGGCGGAAAGGAGAGCCAGGGCTGAACGAGAGCTGGCAGCGAGGGATGTGAATCCATTCTTCCACCCGAATTACTGATTCTGCAAAGCTCTACTGTTCAGGCATCAGGTGACACAATGTATGTTCACCTGATGCGCTGCTAGTTCTTTTTAGCTTATATACTATATTTAGCCCTGCATTTTGTGTGATTTCTCCTTCAGTGCCTTTAATGTAGGAATTGGTCAGACCAAGTTGAGGGGATAATTGTAGAGGATCATATTTAGATTTGATATTACATAGCTGAACAATTATGAAATGTTGTAAATAGGTTCTGTCTTTGGATGGTTGTATGAATCTGGACCATGTAATGGTCACGACTTTCTCAGGGATGACTGAAATGTGTATGCATAAATAGCATTCTGGCAGTCAGAATATTTCTCCAAGCAACATGTGTTGCTGCACTGGCAAATGAATGAAAAAAATGAAGGCAAATGGATTTAAGAAGCTGGCTCATGGGAATATACATTTGAATATTTCATTAAACCAAGCATCAAAAGCGTGTTCTTTGTTTTAGACATGTTAAATGAAGCAACATCTTCCACTATGCCGTCAGAGGCTTATCTGGCTGATATGACTTCCTGAAATTCTTCTTTCTTGAGAAAAACCTAAAATGGAGGGGTTGGGGCTTTGGCTCCAGGCTCAAACTCTATCTTGTGGTAGACTGCCCTCCTAAGGAGCGCTTGGGCAACTAACTTGTGGGGCATGACATCCAAAATTCATCATTTACATTAGGAATTTCCTGGAAAAAAAAGTCTTATGTGTATTGGATCCGCTCTTTTGTTAGCATGAACACATGAATGAGATTCTTCTTATTCTTCCTAAATAGACCCCCCACCCTCAGCTTTCTTAGGACTATCAAGCCTTCTCGAATTAGGTCTATGCTAGAAGCTTTGAACGTAGACCCGGATACAAATCTTTCACTCACTGAAAAGTGAAAACCTATGACTATATCGTCCTGAAGACGGATGCGGCGGGAAGAAGTGGCATTTAGAAGTGTTACTGACTTTACATTTAGGTTTCGACATAACAAAACTTGCACTGTCTTTTCACACTTAGGCACACAGCGTGGCGTTGGTAATGATTCTACTACGGTGCTGCAAATTCGCAAGCTGATCCTAAGTAATCGTTGTTGTTCATTGGATTCCTCCGGAATTACTTCGTTACGATTGAAGAATTGCAACAATTCTTCCTGAATAGACTCGATTCTCCTGTCGAGAGTTTCTTTGAAAGTCTTACCTAAACTCTTCCGACTGAATATGAGAAAGCCTATAAAACAACGAGCTACTATCATTTCTTCATTATAAATTGAGATCTTCTTCAGACTTGATGCACAAATAGATGGAATAGCAGCAAATAGCATATTTCTATCCTTCATATCCGTAGAAAGAAATCTCATCTCCAGGTAACTCCATCTTTTTCAGCTCTGCTCACTCACTTTTGAAAGGAAAGGAGACTGATCTTGACGTCAGCGTTGGTTTTTCCAACGAAACGAATAAGTTTTGGATTGAGATTTCACATAAGCATTGCACAATGATCCGCATTAGGCGGGGAGCAGCAATGATACCGCCGGCCAGGAATAAGTACTTATCCCTCTTATACTTAATAAAAGAGAATAGAAGTGGTTCCTTTTCTTTCTATACGAAATTCAACGATTTCGTTTGTGTTCATGTTGGCATAGGAGAACTACTAACTTCCGCCATCTGCATTAGTTACGTTAGCGTAGGTAGGCGGTTCTCATGCCAAAGGGGAAGATCTCGCTCACCCAAGTGCACAACCTGAGTAAGTAAACTTATCGAGGAGTGATAGGGCAGCAGAGTTTGAGGCAAAAAAAGATTTGGGTGGCTATGGGTGATATGGGGAATCTAACAATTAATTGACAATGATTTCACGGTGATGTGCATTGGTAGCTTCAAGATGAAGGCATTTTCCATATGTAAGCCACAATTTCAGTATCTTATTCTTCTGAACCAGGAAAAGCGTTCTAGTAAGGAGGATGAAAGAAGAGTACGAAAAAGGAAGTCAAAAGTAGTAGTCTTTAACAAGGCTTTCCTTCATCAGTGTAAATATCTAAAGTAGAGGCTTTGGTAAAAACATAAATCCCATATTAGAGGGATCGGTCATCACATTCTGCTTTGTTAAGAAAGAAGGATAACCTAGATAGATAAAGGTGGAATGGACTACGTGCAATCCCATCCATGGAAATATTTTATTTACTGTAGAAATATGTATGATGTGCGGCTAGGAAATCCGCCATCGCTTGCCCTCTAATGGCCTTCTGCGACGCATACACAATATCGAACTCAGTAAGGATGATGGCTCCATCTTGTCAATCTTCCTGTAAGCATTGGTCTTGTCATGAGATATTTAAGTGGGTGAACTTTGGAGATGAGGGTGACCTGATGTGCTATCATGTAGTGCTGTAGCTTCTTGACAGCGAACACCAGTGCAAGGCAATGTTTTTCGATAGGAGAGTACGCATGTTCAGTTCCTACGAGCACACGACTGAGGTAATAGAGGGCATTCTCTTTCCCGTTTTCATTTTCTTGTGCCAATAGAGCCCCAAGAGATTCATCCAAGTCCGTGGTGTAGAGTATAAGCTCCTTCCCTGGTATCGGCGCAGCCAGGACTGGCAGATTGAGGAGATAGCTTTTGATGCCATCTAGGGCTTGTTGGCAGTTTTCATCCCAAAATAATGGAATGTCTTTTATGGTTTTTCTTGTAAAAGGTTGGATTCTTCCAGCAAAATTGGCTATGAATCGCCTGATGTATGCCAGGCGCCCTTGAAGCGAACACAGCTCCTTAAGGTTTTCAGGAGGAGGCATTTCGAGTATGGCCTTGATTTTACTCGGGTCGATTTCTAATCCCCGATGTCGAATGACAAACCCTAGGAATTTGCCTGACAAGACCATGAAGGCGCACTTCAAAGGGTTTAACTTGAGTGCATGTTGCCTTAGGCGGTCGAATATAATTCTGAGATGTTGAAGATGTTCTTCATAGGATACCGCCTTTACAACGAGATCATCTACATAGCACTCGACAATCTTATGTATTATCTCATCGAAGATCTTAGTCATGGCGCGTTGATATGTAGCATCAGCGTTTTTGAGACCTTTGGGCATAACCTTGTAACAATATATGCCTATTGGAGTGCAAAAGGCTGTGCTTTATCAAGGCAAGCTTCTCTTTCTTTCTCCAATGAAGTTCATATAAGTGTATAGAAAGCCTTCTTTTCACAACCATGCACAAACCAAAGTGCTGCTGAAACGTGAAATCCATGCATCAACAAGTTCCAGTTCATAAGCAATGAAAAAGCAGAGTATATGGGAGGATAGTGGCTAAACTGTTCACTTGAGGAGAGTGGGAAGTGACTAGTACGATGGGTGAAGAGCGGAAGTGCGATCTTTCGATCCAATCTACATCCACTAAAATCCATGTCTCATGGCATGAGGGCCATTGCGAGTTGAAGTTGTTGATTTACTGTCATAGTCTGTCCTCAAGAGAGGCATCCATTCCTGGCCAGACAAAGTTCCTATTAGTTCTCTTATAGGAAGCTAGTATACCTGAATGGCCTCCGGTAGCTGTCGCATGCAGTTCTTGCGCTATCCTGGCTCTTGCATTTCCAGCGATCCCCACATAAAGCCTCCCTTTTTTCCTTAATACCCCTTCCTCCTCTTCCCTACCATCTTGTCCTCCTCTCGCTTCACTAATGCTCTTCTTAACTTCTTCAGCTAATTTGTATCCTTCGTAGCTTTGTTTCACTTCTCCTATCCGATCCGTCAACAACTTGCTCACAAGGGTGCAACCACTGAATTTGTAACGACACAATGATTTGAAAAACAATCAAAAGATATGTAAAGAACACAGACAGTAAAGGTAGAAGATTATTTCTAGGTAGATAGGAGAGCTATTAAAATCCACAAACATGAATCAAAGTTTCGACTGGGTTCTCCAGATTTAACCAAAAGAAGACTTTTCTACAAATAAGAGAATTTCTCATTTTTTGGTTTATACCGAGCCAAAACATAGAATTTCCATTGAAGAAGGAAGTAAGGATGCTAGCCGGAGAACCAAGAAATAAATAGTTCCCATTCCGATTCTTTTTTAGTTCCCAAGATAGAATTTCTTTATTTTTGGCAAGAGCGGTGGGTGACAACGTGCAAGACTAGATAGGTTTGGCTTTGATCTGATCAATAGGAATAGGAGGAAGCATTAGAGAGGTACCAAATGACTGAAGAGGGGAACCCATATGACCACATGTAGAGCCAGCCCATAAGTCAATTCAAGAGAATTTCTTCATCTTCCAAAGTATGTGAGTGAGGTAAAAATTCCATGGATCGATCTCATCACTCACATCCAACAACTAGTGAAAGATGTAATGATGAAGCTATAGGAGAAGAAAAAGCGTTGGTTTTGATTGGTAATCTTGAGTTGTCATCTTTTGAAAGAGAGTAACTTGCTGGATGGAGAGCAGCTAGGAGAATAAAGTTCACCTTTACCCCATCTTTCATTCCAACTCTATTTTCTTGTGTGCGATCCTTCTTTCTAGTTTGCAATCCAAGAAGCTCAATGGGCTAGTTTCAAGTTCGACCAGACACGAAATCTGGTATAGCCACCAGCCTAGATAGAACGGGCGGGGGAAGAAAAACTAGGAGCGAGCCACATTCAAGAGGGTTGTCAAAGGCCCTCTCAATAGGGCTATTTTTTCATTGAATCGATGGAGGGAAGACTCCTTCGGTAGGTGCCCCCGACTCTTCCAGTTTCTGGGTAGGATCTTATGGCTTAATCTCTGATTGCACAGGATTCATCTTTGTTTGGTAACCTCAGATCCTGAACCAGGAGTTGGAAGCGCCTTTGCCAGACTTTCCAATTGAACACGATGCGGGCGATGCAACTCGGCAAGGAGAAGGTTGAACCCTAGTGCTACACTATAGCAGAAGCTTTGGTAGTTTACCATGGCTTGATGTTCTAGTTGTCATGCTAAAGCCGTTGATAGCTACTTTGCTTGATGAGCTAAGTAGAAAGACTTTGTGGATGAATCC